TCGATTTGCTTCTGTGGAGCCTGCCCTCCCAGAGCTCATTGCAGGCAGCATTCTACAGTAACTAACAAAAGTACTGAACACTTATGACGGGCCAGGCCTTTGCTAGGCAGGCAGGGATGCACAGGGCAGCCCGCCTGATGGAGCTGAGTACAGTGGGAGAGGAGTAGCTCAACAGTGACCCCGTGAGACCTGCTGTAGAGGAGAAGCAGCCATTGCTCTGGGAACATAGAGGAGGCAGCTAAGAGGGGAAAGGCCTGAAAGACGCCTCGAGGAGGCAGCTAAGAGGGGAAAGGCCTGAAAGACGCCTCCCAGATGAGATGGGGATAGTGCTTGCACTCAGCCGTAGGCATCAACGTTTGTTGGGTGGACAGAGGCAGGGAAAGCTGCTCCAGGTAGTGAGGACAGAATTTACTAGGCTCAACATAAAGGCTGGTGGGATTGGATTTGCTAGTTTGCCCACACCTCCGTGATATAAAACAAGGCATAAATATTCAGCTTGGGAGCAACAGTCGTGCCTTACAGAGTGCTGGCAGGTGGCACCAGCGTGGTCCGACTCACAAAGTACATGCTTGTTGGGTGGATTCACAAAGTGAGTGGATATTAGGAGGCCAGAAAGTTATTATAGGCGAGACACAGCTTTAAATGTAAAGCTGTTCACATTGAATTCCAAAGCATCTGGGCAAAGAAAATCCCAGTTTCAGAATGTTCCTGTATGCTGTGGAACTGGGCTCACTGCTTCAGTGAGGAATTCTGGCCTCTGCTAAGCTGATCCTCTTGGAGCTGGGTTCCCTGCATCCTGGTTGAGTGTTTGAGGTGATCTCCCCTCTCCTGTGCTCGAGACGCTGCGAAACGATCTGTCTTAGGGCTACTGAGGCGTCTCCCTGGATACCCTCCTGCTCATGCTTCTGCCACAAGGTCCCCTGACCCCACCATTAGTGTAGCAGGGACACCAAGGTTGCTACTGACACTCACAATGGGTACATCGTGACTTCCATACTGACCACTCAGGCCTCGGTGTAAATTTCCTTTCACATTTCACCCCAGCTGAAGACAGCCTCTGAGGGTGACTCTCACCTGATCTAACTTTTCTTTCTGCAGCCAAAGAACACAGTCACCCCACACAGAGGATTGACACGGCCTTTTGGGGCAATTCTCTCCCGCTGAAGAACTAAATTAGGAAGATCAAAATTCTCACACACAAGAAACTACATGGTTCTTAGGTCACACAAATGTGTACAGGGGGAGGTATTTATTTGCCAGTTGTAAACTCATCAATCCCCTAGACTCAAAGGGGTGCATATTTTTGAAGGAGCAGTCTGCTATTTAACTTCACCCAGGAAAGAAATGTGTCCGGTTAAGATGACCATCAGCTCTCCTAAAAGCTTTGGTGAGTGTTTTAGTCCATTTCTGTTGCTTATAACAAAATACCTGGAACTGGGTAATTTACAAGAAAACAAAATTTATTGCTTACAGTTTCTGAGGCTGGGAAGTCTAAAGTCCAAAAAACACAACTAGGTGAAGGTCTTGGTGGTGGTGACAGTGATGGCAGAGTATCACATTGTGAAAATGGTAGAGCAGAGAGTTCCTCACGCACTCTCCTTTTTAAAGCTCCCAAAACCACACCCAGGACCACCATTACTAATCCATTCACTACTGCACAGTCCTACAATCTAATCACGTCTTCAAGGCCCCACCTTTCATTTACCATAATAGGATCTCCCACCCTCAACAGTTACTGTGGGAATTAAGTTTTGGGGGGACAGTCAACCCAAGGGAGTGAGGAAGTAAAGATACTGTAATTTTGAAATAAAATCGAGAGGTTATAGCTAAAATGGAAATTCCATTTGTTTTGCCACTTCCATGAGAGTCTATCAGTATTACTTATTTTAGTATAAAGAAATAGGAGACTGGGGACCCTGTACCATCTGCCTCTCATCTCTCTTTCCACTAAGTGAGCTATCCGAAGCATCTCAGCAGAACAGAAGTATCAGTATAATGCCTGCACATGCCAATTAAATTATGAAGAAGAAAGAGGTTTAAATATATCACCCAGCTATTGGTTGTTGTCTTTTGAAAAGTTATTTTCCTTCAATATTTATAACATTCAAATGGACTGTTAGTAGATAACATCATGATGGTTAATGTTAATATTTCTTAGCATACTGCTTTCCTGTGATGTTCCCAACTTTTAAAACCTCACTGAAAATATTTTTAAAGCAAACAACAACAAAATCCAAAGTACTAAGCTAACAAGGAAACTTTCAGATCTTTTCATTTGAGGAAAGTCTTGATTATTTGGGGAAAAATCTCCATATGAATCATGGAAGTCACACATAAGAGAAGAATATGTAAATGATCAGTGACATGCTTATTTTTACTGGACACCCTACCACATGCCAGACACTGTTTTAAATGTTTTATACATCTGGCTCACTTATCAGTATCTCTCTTCCATTTTTAGAGGAGGAAACTGAGGCGCAGAGAGGTTAAGTAACTACGTCACAGGCTAAGAAGGGCTGAGACATGGATTTGAACCCAGCTGACTCTGGAGTATGTGCCATTACCTATGATAACATCTTGCCTGAAGATGAGCCATGTTCATTTTAGGAAATTTTATGCATTTAAAAAATTATATTTTACAAAAATATTTAATGATGAGAAAAGGCTCATAATACAGTGTTAAGTGCAGGAACAAAACTGTATATACACAATAACATTATAGGGGTGTGTGTGTGTGTGTAGATACACACATGTATGTGCACAGATATTCACATGCACCTCTACACGTGGAAAAAGACGTACTGTACTAGGCAGTAACCATCATGTTAGCAGTGGTTAGCACCTGGATGAAGGAATTACTGATGATTTTTATTTACTTTATATTTGTCCTCTTTCCCAAAGTTTTCCACCCTTAACAGATATGTTAACATATTTTTTTCACATATTAGTAAAACAGTATTTTAAAATCGGAGCTTCATAGATGTCAGCTGTTCAGAAAAACACTTGCCTACGATAATCCCTGGAGGTCCCATCGAACAAGGAGGTGCGTGGTGAGACCCCAGCCGATCTCTCCTCCCTTTCCAAATGGAAAGAAAAGAAATCAAAAGAAAATAAAAGAGAGGGGCGGGGGAGGGCCCGCCTTGTGCTCCCCGGGGCTTGTGCCTACTTTTCAGGGCCCAGAAGGATTACCCTGGGGGAGCCCCGGCTGCTCGTCAACAAGCTGCACCGTGCGGTCTACACTGCAATAACGGTGCGCTCAGCAAGGGTGAGGAGTGTCCGCAGGGTCGCCGCCGAGCGCTCCCGGGGGACCTCACGCCTGTCCCACATCCCGCTCGAGCGCTGCCCTCTGGGAATCACCCTCCCGCGCGGCCTCCGCACCCCGGGGCTTACCTGCAGGGACATGATGCGGGAGGTCGTGCAGCGGGTGCGCGGCAGCAGCTCGCAACGAGCTCANGGGCGCGGGAGGGCGGGGCGACTGCGGTTCCCCGCTGCCCCGGGCTCTGCAACTGGAAGGCGAAGGGAAGGGAGTTTAAATGAGTTTCTTGGCTCGCTCTTCCATTCTTTGTCAAGAAGTTGTTTGCAGGAAACCCAGAGAGTTCTCCCCAGGGCACAGACCTCACTTAGCATTCCCTCCTTCTGTCTCTCTGCTCTTCAAAACTCCTAGAAACCCGGACAGGAGCCGGCGTTCACGTCTCCCACGTCTCCCCCAGCATCTGCAGGCGCTGCTCATCTTGGATGAAAGAGGGCTGTGGTTTGCGTCTTTTCTCCTCTTTATGAAGCAAAAACACCTAAATTCTGAACACGTGCTGCAATCACCCTAACTTGTTTTTAATCCTGTTAAAGGCACAAGGCTGCGCGCCTGTTCAGTTTGACCCAGTTCTCGGGGGAGCAAAGCCGGGGTCACTCCAAGGCTGTAGACACACAGACTGGGGCTGTGAATCGCATCGTATTACATTTCCAAAGAACTGGAACCAGATTCTCCCGTCATTTGAGCGTTAAATTTCCAATTCTTCGTTTAAATAGCAGTATTCGTGGAGAACGGTGACTGGGAGAAGAGAAAATCAGTGTTAACAGTGGCTGAATTTGAACGTGTAGCAATGAGACCGGTGATGGAGAAGAAAGACCCCAAAAGTTTGTTTTCACATAAAATCACTTTTTGAAAATACTTGCTACTTATTAATGTAATTCTCTTGCGTGTTTTTTCTCCTCGAATTGGCTGAATTTGAACGTGTAGCAATGAGACCAGTGATGGGGAAGAAAGACCCCAAAAGTTTGTTTTCACATAAAACCACTTTTTGAAAATACTTGCTACTTATTAATGTAATTCTCTTGCGTGTTTTTTCTCCTCGAAAATATTTTCGTGGTGAAATCAATAAATTTCCAAGTAAAGGACAAAAGGTAAAAGTGAGGAAAACGTACTGAGCAGTTTTCTGGTTTTTGTTAAAGTCCTGGACCATGGGGAATGGGGGGCTGGAGGGAAGGTAGGGGTAAGGGACGGGGGTCTGTGAATGGCAAATGGCAGCTTCAGAACAGTGAATGCTCCCTCTGTTAGCCCAGCCATGGCTGCTGGGGAGAGCCCTGTCTATGTGAGTTTGAGCAGGGACAGACACACTGCACTGAGCTCCAATATCAGTCTGTATCTTCAGCTGAGACCTTTTGATATTACAGTCATTGTAAGAAACCAAAAGAGGGGAGGGAAAGTACCCTGTGCTCTGTTTTATTCTCTAAGTCTACAATGTTCTTTTAAGACCTCTTTTCCACGCATTTTCTTCTCTTGAGTTGCCCCCTCCTCCCCTTTCAGACTGACAGAGCCATGGGTGTCTTGTCTCAAGGAGCAAGAAGGAAGAAGACCCAATGGAATATTTGATGGGTGTCCTCCACCACTGTAATAATCTACCAGGTACAGTGAAAACTCACAGGTCAGGAGGTCTTAGGGAGTGAGTTGATTTGGATAGACAATGGAGTTTGATTTTTTACTATTTTATTAAATATTGATGATAAACCAATACACTTACATATATATACATTTTTTTTAAATGGCATATTTATGAACCATCAGTTTAAGAAAAGAACTATTACATTAAGCCTTAAAGCTTCTTGCGACCCTCCCAATTCCATCTCGTCCTATACTCCACATTCACTCATTCATTCATTCATTCAAATATTGATTGAGTACCCAGTATGAGCTAGGCACTGTTCTAGGTTCTTGAGAAATGTCAGTCAACAAGGGATGACAGATAACAAACACATCTAATATGTAAAATATGTGGTATCCCAGAAACCAAGTCAAAAAGCATACCAAGTCATACCTTGTCAAACAAGACAAGGACTGAGAATTAATAATTGGATCTAGGTACTGATAACATTAAGAGAAATTTTAATGCAGTGGTGGAGGTGGATGGTAAAGCCTGATTAGAGTGGGTTTAAGAAAGAACACAAGGAGCAATTATAGAAGAATTTTTTGGACTCCCTATTTGTTTATCACTCCACCAATACTATACAAACTGTCTCAGTCATTAAATTCTCCCCATTTTTTTTTTTTTTCAGGAAGGGCTGTTTCTGGCATTTTGCTCTTCCATATAAACTTTAGCATCCATGGGTCAAGTTTCATACGCAAAAAAAAATGTTGAATTTTTCTTGGAATTGCATTGAAACTCTGTGTCAGTTGGGTGGTGGTAAAGGGTTGATATCTTTATGACAGAGTTCTACTATTCATGAATATCATATATCTTTTTCAATAGTTGTTTTATTTAATGTTTTCAGATAAAGTTTTCTTCTTTTCCCCATTGAAGGTCTTGCACATTTCTTGTACATTTATTTCTAAGTAACATTGTAATTGTTGATGTAGATGGAGTCGTACAATTTTTTCATTATTTATCTGTTACTGGAGTACAGAAAAGAAATTGACTTTTGTATATTGACTCTTTATCCAGCAGACTTAATAAATCTTTTTAACTTTAATTATTTTCGTTAATTATTTCTGCTTTTCTCTATAGCAAACATATAGTCTATGAATAAAGTCACTTTCTTTTCTTTTTTTTTTTTTTTGGCAGCTGGCCAGCATGAGGATCTGAATCCTTGACCTTAGTGTTATAATACCGCACACTAACCAACTGAGCTAACCGGCCAGTCCTAGACAGTTTCATTTCTTCCTTCCCAGTCCTCACAATTTTTTTTCTTTTCCTTGCCTTGCTACACTAGCTGGGACTAGCCAAGGAAAAGGAGTAGAAATAGTGGGCACCCTTATCTTATTCCTTACATGTAGCACTTTCAGTGTTTCACCATTAAATGTGATGTTTACTGCAGTGGTTAGATTTTGTTGTGTGTGTGTAAACATATATATATATATATATATATATATATGCATGTAGCACTTTCAGTGTTTCACCATTAAATGTGATGTTTACTGCAGTGGTTAGATTTTGTTGTGTGTGTGTAAACATATATATATACACACACACACACATATATGTATTTACTATGTCAAAGAAGTTCCTTCCTACTTGTAATTTAGTAAGAATTATTAATATGGATGGATATTGAATTTCACCAAAAGATTTTTTATGTCTCCGTTAGGATGATCATATATGTTTCTCCTTTGGTCTTTTATAGGGGTGGCTTCCAGTAATTGATATTCAATTGTTAAACAAACCTTGCGTTCCCGATTCATGCCAACTTAATTTTGAGAAAATGTCTTTTCAAATATACATTACTGGATTGTTTGCTATATTTTGGATTTTTTTTTTTTTGCATCCTTGTTTATGAATGAGGTTAGTTTATAACTTCCCTTTATTGGACTGTTCATTATGATTCTTTAGTGCCATAATTATGCTAGCACATAGAACAAGTTGGGAATGCACCCTGCAGGTTCTGTATTCCGAAACAGGTTTTGCAGAATGGAGAAAAGTACAGGAGAAAAGGTCCCATAGCAGCCAATGATATTTGGGCTGATTTTCCTCTTACTGCCTCCCTCCGTTCCAATCCCTGAGGTTAAAGCTCACTTTCAAAGCACACAGGAAGCTTAGCTGCCTATCCCATCCACTCTCAAGCTGTTGGAGTGAGCAGGACTGAAGCCATGTTGGGACCTAAAACTACCTGGGCTCTAAAGGATTTTAAAAAGACATAGTTTATTTCTTAGCATGCATTTCTCTGAGTTCCCTCTTTTCCCACAGTTATTTGATATTTTGAACCTTGGTATGAGGCAAGATGACAATATTTGCATGAATGTAAAGTTGGTTTCCACTCAGCCTGGAGCTGCAGACTTGCCACGAGGCACATACTATCCAAGCCCTGAGAAACCAAGGAAGACATCCATAAAGCTATGCTGATTCCACCCTGGATCAGGACCCTGAGATAAGAGCAAGGATGGGAGCAGAAACCAGATGGAATTTTGGCAAGAACTTGCACATGGCTCCTTGCACAGAACCCCCACAGCTCACGTCCCCCTTCCTCCTGCTCTTTATTTTCCATGTTCCATTCCCTCATCCCCCTCCATAAAAACCCCTCAGTAAATCTGAGTCTTGGAGATGGTTTTAGTCTGGCCCTTCTCTTCCAGGTTTTCCAGAGAGATGGGTCAGCCTAACATCTCTTTTCAGGTCACCAGTATTTCTGAATAAAACTGACTTCCATTGTCACCAACATTTGACTTTTGGGTTGTTTGCTTTTTGTTTGGAGGCAGACAGATGGACCTGGGTTCAGTAACAAGATTTTGGGGAGCCTCAGCCAGGAGCCAAGTGCCCCCCTGTATTACAACCTGCAGCCAGGATATGCACCCTGAAATACAAACAGCATTGTGCACTCGCCCTTGGGTTCACATTTCAGTGCCATCCTGGCTCTGTTGTGATAAACTCCAAATTACTTTTTGGCATCAGAAGTGGCTCTAGGGCTACTGACACAGTCAGTAAAAATCACTGTATTAGTCAGTTTTCTGTTGCTTATAACAGAATACTTGAAACCAGGTAATTTATAGGAAAATGAAATTTATTTCTTACAGTTTCAGAGGCTGGGAAGTCTAAGTCAAGGGGGAGCATGTGGTGAGGGCCTTCTTCTTGGTGGGAGGTCCCTACAGAGCCCCCTGGCAATGCAGGGCATCACATAGTGAGGGCTGAGCGAGAACATTTTCATGTGCTCTCCTTATAAAGCCACCAGTCCACATCCATGATAATCCATTAACCCGTTAATGGATTAATACACTCATGAGGTCATAGCTGTCATGATACAATCACCTCCTAAAGGCCCCACCTTTCAAGACTGCAACATTGGGATCAAGCTTCCACATTAGCTTTGGAGGAGACAAACATTCAGACCACAGCAGTCACATATGAGATTGCCCGAGAAGAAACTTTTAAAGGTTCTGACATGTTACCAAACTGCCATCTAGAAAAAGCACCTCCCCTCCCCAACAAGCTTGGAAAAACCAATGGTAAAAGCACTGCACACATCTGGAGATACTCAGTAGGTCTCTGTAGTTTTGTCTAGGTGGGGGCACAGCAGCCGGCCCTCATGTCTCCCTGGAGGCTCCTGGCAGCTTTTGAAAGGTGAAGCTATGGTTATTTTGAAGGTGTTGCTTTTGAAGGCAGCTACCCACTTAAATGGAACTCCATTGAGCAGCCATCCTTTAGATACCTCCGTTCTCCCTTGCATGGATTCTGCTGGGCCCAGGGTGCCTGCCCTGCATGCACAGCAGCGTGCTTTTCTTGCTCAGCTCACACTGGCCAGTCTCCTCTACCTTTTCCTTGATCTCCATAAAGCTCATGGTCTTCATATTCCATGTCAAGTGTAATGAGCATGGCTTGGCCTCCCCACATTTTTTTTTTTTTTTTGTCACTACCTCTGCTGCCCACTACATAAGGTTTGAATGTCTTCCCTCAATCTTTTCTTTTCAGGCACATTCAGGTTCCTTCTGGCAAACCTGTAACACAGATGTCTCCATGTGAGCTTGAACCTGAACCTGCAGAAGCTCTCAATGGCTCCACGCTGACCTTGATTGTTGTCAGAGGAAGAGAGTGGGGTCACACAATTGGGCAAATTCTGCTGGCTGCACACCAGTTGCAGGTGCCCAGGTGGGTGGGAGTTTCCTTTGGACACACCTGGAGAGAAACTGGTTCCTTCTGAGGCCTCACCACTTTGCTGATGTGTGGGCAGAAGAGGAGGCTGCAGGGACATGCTTGGGGGTTGTGCTGGGCTGGGGCACCTCACAGGTTCCCTGCATGGGGTGCAGCCCCAAGGCAAACTTGGATTCCTGCTGAAGGTGGGTATTGCTGGGGAGACTAGGGGGTGGGGGGGAGGCAAAGGTCATGGAGGCCCAGTTAGGCTGTCTTTCCCCTTCTGCTTGTGGCCTGGTTAAGGCTAGCTGGCTCCAAAAGTGGGAATTCCTGCATTGACATATGCTGGTGGAGGGGTCCCAGTTAGTGGAGGTAAGGTCGTCTCCTTCCTCTGCAGGCCAGATAGGGGCCTGGCAGGCACCTGGCTTTACTCCTGCCCTTACACCTTGACTCCTGGTCCTCCTTAGGTGACTCACTTTCTGCACTGCTCCTCAAGGTCGTCTCCTTCCTCTGCAGGCCAGATAGGGGCCTGGCAGGCACCTGGCTTTATTCCTGCCCTTACACCTTGACTCCTGGTCCTCCTTAGGTGACTCACTTTCTGCACTGCTCCTCTGAGTATTCTCAGAACAGGAATTAGAGGTGGGAATAGCCAGTTCCACCACTGGGGGTTGGTAGGATGCTCTGCTGCACTTTGTGACAAGAGGAAGGTGTGCTGCAGTTGGTCTGATCAGCTGAAGCCTGGGGCTCCAGGGCGATGATGTCATCCTCATGACCCACATGCACCCCTGGACCCTTCGTGGAGGGCTGTAAAGTGCCTCTCTTGCTGGGGTTAACAATGAGAAATTTCTTGAGCAGTCTATGGACATGTAGAAGAGAATATGGTATATTCCACTGAGTATCCATCTGCAGCTCCTCAAAGTTCTGTCCATGAAAAGTCAGGGTTCTGCTGACCAGTGTATACAGCATGAGTCTCAGATGTCTGCCATCCAACATGGGTCCATCTCACTTTTCGCCCTGGAAGAGTTCCAGGGCAGCATAAGGGGGACTGCCCCAGAAGGTGTCCAGCCTGTTGCCAAAGTTGAATTTGTTGCTGAAGCCAGAGTCTTCAAACCTGATGCTCATGTCATAATCCAAGAGCAGGTTTTTGGCCTCTAACGCTGTGAACAGTACACTTCTGGTGGCAGGATTCCACAGACACTACCTGGTAGAATTTACCCCAGGCTTCTGTTTCTTGCACACTTCCATGAGCCACTAGGTACTCCATACCTCTCTTCCACTACGGTATTCCGTGGAAAGACAGGTGTTGCCTTGATCTCTATCACTTCAAACATATGTTTGGATGATTCAAGACCTTCAAGATTCTTACTCTGTGGAGTTGTCTCTCGAGGTTGGAAGAGGTCTGCTGAGTCTTATTAATGATCTCTTTGGCTACCTTTTTTGCAGTCAGGATGTGCCGGGCCAACTTCAGCTTGGTTGAGTCACACTTGGCGATGGCCTTGAGGAACTGGTGGTGGCTGATATGAGTCTCCTCTGTGGAGGAAATGGCTGAGAGGCCTTGCAGCAAGTTGTATTTTCTGCTGGGCTTGAAGTCAAGGTGTCCCCAGGTCAATTTAAAATTGGGAAAGCTGGTGAGGAACTTGATTCAAATCACTTCAAAAGAAAATCACTTCCAGGGGCCGGCCCGGTGGCGCACTGGATAGTGCGCCGCTTGGGAAGCACGGCGGCGCTCCCGTCCGAGGGTTCGGATCCCATGTTTTCAATTAGATAATGGCATTGTGGGTGAAAGCAAGTGTTCCCAGTGAAGAGCCCTGGATTGTGGATAAGAAAAGGATCCCATGTATAGACTGGTTCCCGCTCACTGGTTGAGCGAGGCGTGGGAGCAACACCGAGGCTTGCGATCCCGTTGCCGGTCCCCGGTCCAGTACGGGGGCAACACTGAGGGTTGCGATCCGTTGCCGGACACGGAAAAAAGACAAAAGACAAAAAAAAAAAAAAAAGAAAAAAAAGAAAATCACTTCCAGGCTGGCCGATTAGCTCAGCTGGTTAGAGTGTGGTTCTGATAACACCAAGGTTCAGGGTTCGATCCCTATACCAGCCACAAGCCAGAAAAGAAAAAATAAATCACTTCCAAAGTCCACCTGACAAACTGATCTTTATAATGAAATCAAAACACAGTGCCAGACAAACACAAAAATAAATAAAAGCAAATACTAATGAACTAAATAAGAGAAAGGAGAAAAAAAGAAGTTTAAAATGAAAAAAATGAGATTAAGAATAGAATAAATAAAATGAAAAATAAGAAAAAAAAGGATAGTAAAAAAAATGAGAAAAAAGGTAAAAATTGACAGCAAACAAAATAGACAGAAAAACCACAATGCTATGAAGGAAACTTTGGTTATTTTCTCAGGTCACTGAAAACCAGCTTGATGAGCTAGAAGAATCAAAGGCTAGGCCCAGCCGGGTGCTTAAAACAGAGGCTTGAAATTTCAGAACAGTGGCTCTTTACGAGGCCACAGCAAGACATGGACCTATCAAAACGAGATAATCCACAGTGATTTCCTCACTTTCTGGACTCTAAAATGCTCTTTTAAATTTTAAATTTACACTTTTAAACAAACCGTTGAGGACTCCATAGACTTTTTTGTTTATATGGGTTACAGCTCTCAATATTAACCTTTATTTGAAATGAAAACCTGTATAATGCTTCTATGGCTTTTTCATTTCTAGTTTGAAAAACCGTAATAATTTGTGGCTTTTAAAGAGCTCATAATACCTATGCTTTTTTTAAAAAAAAGCTATAAAAGAAGCAAACTGCAGTTTTCCTAGGTCAGACTTTTTAATTTCAAATATAGATTAAAATTTCTGCCCCCGTTATATTCTTTCCTGCTTTGTAAAATTTCTGCGATTTTACCATATTATTTTACTTGTCACTAATCAAAGATACCAGCTTTTCCCATAAATCCAAGTGGCTTAAAATGTTAGTATTTGCTTTTGTTTACTTTTATGTTTGGCATTGTGTGTTTGATTTTATTATAAAGATTAGTATATTAACTACAATGATATGGTTATCCAGTTCTGGTTTTGTGTGATTGGTCGAATTTGTTTATGGTGTGATTGTTCTAAACATCTGTCAGTGATAAATATTCACAAGTATGAAGAATGGTAATCGATGTCAGAGAAAAAAGTCATACTTGTGTTGTTTACAATAAATGGATCTGTTAGTGTTACCAGATTAATTACAGATGGGTCTGAAGGGAGAATTCCAAAACAGGAGTCTTACTAATTTCTGACTAAACAATGATGTCAAATCACTTATACATTAGTAAAGTTATAAAATCAGGAATGGCATGATGTGGAATTAATGATTACAGTGCTGGTGATTATATGTAATATAATTAATAAATTATATTACTTTAGATGAATAAATAATTTTCTACAACAAACACATTCTAATAAATATAACTTTGAATCAAACACAAATGACTAATACTTGTATTACTATTTCCCATAACAAATGAATAAGGATAGCCTAGAGACGATGGATTATATTTCACATAATTTCAAAATTAGGATGTCTGAAGGGGACTCCTTGCAACAAAACCAGCCAGGACAATTTCATTATAACAAGTTTCTGTAAAAGTATTGCTATGAGTTAAGTGTGTCTGCCAAAAGCTCATGTATGGGAAACTTGACCCTCACTGTAACAGTGTTAAGAGGGTGGGAAACCCAATTGTGGTATTAAAGGTGGGGCCTTTAAAAAGTAATTACATTGTGAGGACTGTACCCTCATGAATGGATTAATCTATTGATGGTTTAATGGGTGGTCATGGGCATGGTTATGATGGGTTTATAAGGAGAGCGAGTAGAAAGTTAGCTCACCCTTTCTCAGTCCATTCTTGCCATGTGATACCTTGGTCACCATGGGACTCTGTAGAGTTCCCACCAAGTAGAAGGTCCTCACCAGATGTAGCCCTTGGGCCATGGACTTCCTAGCCTCTAAACTGTAAGAAATGTATATCATTTCTTTATAAATTACCCAGTGTCAAGTATTCTGTTAAAAGCAACAGAAACAAATTAATACAAGTATATATCTGCCAGAGGGCACTGTTAACTCAACTTGGCTTAATATTTATATTTTTAGAACCTTCAGAGTAAAAGTTTATAGGCATCTTCTAGCTTTTACCCAACCTGACAAAACATAATGTCTAGCTCAGGGCTTTATCTTCTCAAGCACTACTGTCAATAATCTCCTATTTATTTAGTGTTCTTCATTAAATGTATGGAATTTGTAGACTTTGGTTTTAATTGTAATGTCTAGCCAAAGCTGAATTAAAGTACATAGGGCTTATAATTTTGTTTCTACTCTGCTCTTTTGGTTATAATATTGTGTGCATTTACATATTAATGTCCACTTAACATATTCTGTGATTGAACTCAAGCAAAATATCTCCCTACTGGGGATATCATTGGTTCCCTCACTGCAGCCATTTCTCCCTTCTTGTTTGTCAACAATTCCACTTATGTTCAGTTATGGAGCCTTAATATGCTCAACGAAGGTGGGTCCATTGCCAGGAGAAGAATCATAATTGGCCTACACCAGTCTTGTTTGCTCACTTACCTTTGCCAGTGATTGGTTTAGGTGTAGGCATGTAAGCATTTCTGGCCAATGAGCTGTAAAGGGAACTATGTTAGGGCTTCTTAGAAATATTTTTCTCTCTGATTAAAAGAAAGAAATGCTGGAAAAACTTACTGCCTTACACAATGTGATTGTGTAGAATGTAATGAGCTGTGACATCTAAATTGTAGCCTTGAGAAGACAACATTCTGAGGATGGCAAAAGGGAAATATAGAAAGCCCTTGGGTTTTGGATGAAATACGTGTAGCCAAATGAGCCAGTCCTGGAAAACCTCCAGACTTCAATGACGGAAAACAACCACCATCAAGTATATCACTTCTAGTAGGATACTTTGTTACCTGCAGACCAAAAGGGTCCTGATCTCTAAAACTGGGTGAAAATACATGCATCTTTTTTTTTCAATGTGAATTGTACTATGAAGAAAAAGCATGTTTTTGTACAACAGCTGAGTGCTCTACATCTTTTTTGAGGCCAGTAGGGTCGTTACTGTGCTCTAGGCTAGGGCTTCTTGTTTAATGAGGGATTGCCTACGTGTGAAGCCAAAGACGAGCACTTCTTTCTGGTGGTAAAATATACATAATGTGAAATTTACCATTTTAACCATTTTAAGTATACAATCCAGTGGCATTAAGTATGACTGCAATATTGCATAACCATTACCACTATTTCCAAAACTTTTAATCATCCCAAACAGAAACTCTGTAACCATTAAGCAATAACTCCCCATCCACCCATACATCCTAGCCCTTGGTAACCTCTATTCTACCTTGTCTCTATAAATTTGCCTTCTAGGTACCTCAAATAAGTGTAATCATACGGTATTTGTCCTTTTGTCACTGGCTTTTTCCACTTAGCATAATGTTTTTCAAGATTTAGCCATGTTGTAGCATTTATCAGTACTTCATTCATTTTTATGGCTGAGTAATATTTCATTTGTAGATATGTATCATGTTTTGTTTATCCATTAATCTGTTGATGGACACTTAAGTTGTTTCCACCTTTTGGCTATTGTGTCTAATGCTGCTGTGAACGTTGGCATACAAGTATCTGCTGAGTCCTTGCTTTCAATTCTTTTGGGTATACACCTAGGAGTGGAATTGCTGGGTCAAATGGTAATCCTGTGTTCAGTTTTTTGAGTAACTGCCAACATGTTTTCCACAGCAGATGCACAATTTTACAAACCTGCCAGCAATTTAGGATGGTTCCAATTTCTCCATGTTCCTACCAACACTTCTTACTTTCCATATTTGTTTGTTCATTTGCTTTTTAATAATAGCCATCCTAGTGGATATGAAGTGGTATCTCACTGTGGATTTGATTTGCATTCCCTATGACCAAGGATGTTGAGCATCTTTGCATGTGTTTATTGGTCATTTGTATATCTTCTCTGGAGAAATGTCTATTCAAGTACTTCACTCATTTTTTGAATTTTTTTTTATTGTTGACTTGGAGTTTATATATTTATATAATATATATATATATATATATTCTGTATATTAATCCTGTATCAGATATATGATTTGCAAATTTTTTCTCCCATTCTGTGGTTTGTCTTTTCATTCTATTGGTAGTGTACTTTGATGTACAAAATGTATTAATTTTGATGAAGATCTAATTAATCTATTTTTTTCTTTTGTTGCCTGTGCTTTTGGTGTCATATCTGATCTATCATTGCCAAATTTAACGTCATGAAATTTTCCCCTATGTTTTCTTCTAAGAGTTTTATAGTTTTACTTTTTTAAACTCTCCCTAGTAATTATTGTTGTGCAGCTAGCATTTTTTAAATTTAAATTTAATTTTTATTTTTTAACTTTTTACTATGAAAAATTTAATACTTATACAATAAATCTGGCTATAGCAAACATCAACTCATGGCTAATCTTATCTTATTTGT